GTAATTAACTCAGGGTTAATTAAAAATAAAATCAGTGTTAAAACTCAGCACTGCTTGGTAATTAATTCAGGGTTAATTAAAAACAAAATCAGTGTTAAAACTGGGCAACTGCCTGGTTAATTAGTGCAGCTAATTAAAAACTAAATCAGTGTTAAAACTGGGCAACTGCCTGGTTAATTAGTGCAGCTAATTAAAAACTAAATCAGTGTTAAAACTGGGCAATTGCCTGGTTAATTAGTGCAGGTTAATTAAAAGCTAAATCAGTGTTAAAACTGGGCAATTGCCTGGTTAATTAGTGCAGGGTTAATTAAAAACAAAACCAGTGTTAAAACTCGGTGCTGCCCGGTAATTAGTGTAGGTTAATTAAAAACAAAACCAGTGTTAAAACTCGGCCCCTGCCTGGTAATTAACTCAGGGTTAATTAAAAACTAAATCAGTGTTAAAACTGGGCAATTGCCTGGTAATTAGTGCAGGGTTAATTAAAAACTAAATCAGTGTTAAAACTCGGCACTACCTGGTAATTAGTGCAGGGTTAATTAAAGACAAAATCAGTGTTAAAACTCAGCAATTGCTTGGTAATTAACTCAGGGTTAATTAAAAACTAAATCAGTGTTAAAACTGGGCAATTGCTGGGTAATTAGTGCAGGGTTAATTAAAAACTAAATCAGTGTTAAAACTCGGCACTGCCTGGTAATTAATTTAGGGTTAATTAAAACCTAAATCAGTGTTAAAACTGGGCAATTGCCTGGTAATTAATTCAGGGTTAATTAAAAACAAAATCAGTGTTAAAACTGGGCAATTGCCTGGTAATTAGTGCAGGTTAATTAAAAACTAAATCAGTGTTAAAACTCGGCAGTGCCCGGTAATTAATTTAGGGTTAATTAAAAACTAAATCAGTGTTAAAACTGGGCACTGCCTGGTAATTAATTTAGGGTTAATTAAAACCTAAATCAGTGTTAAAACTGGGCAATTGCCTGGTAATTAGTGCAGGTTAATTAAAAACTAAATCAGTGTTAAAACTGGGCAACTGCCTGGTAATTAGTGCAGGGTTAATTAAAAACTAAATCAGTGTTAAAACTCGGCAATTGCCTGGTAATTAGTGCAGGTTAATTAAAAACTAAATCAGTGTTAAAACTCGGCAGTGCCCGGTAATTAATTCAGGGTTAATTAAAAACTAAATCAGTGTTAAAACTCAGCACTGCCTGGTAATTAGTGCAGGGTTAATTAAAAACTAAATCAGTGTTAAAACTGGGCAATTGCCTGGTAATTAACTCAGGGTTAATTAAAAACTAAATCAGTGTTAAAACTCGGTATTGCCTGGTAATTAACTCAGGGTTAATTAAAAACTAAATCAGTGTTAAAACTCGGCAGTGCCCGGTAATTAATTCAGGGTTAATTAAAAACTAAATCAGTGTTAAAACTGGGCACTGCCTGGTAATTAACTCAGGGTTAATTAAAGACAAAATCAGTGTTAAAACTGGGCAATTGCCTGGTTAATTAGTGCAGGGTTAATTAAAAAGAAACCTTCCCCCGCGGCCTCCAGTTCCGGCCTTTCCCTCCCAAAATTTCCCGTTTTTGCCCCAAAATCCGGCCCACGGAGAAATCCCAACCGCAATTTCCCAACGTACCAAAAACCCTGAGAATTCACCCCAAAAAAACACCAAAATTCCGGAATTTGGGCAACACCGAACGGCCGCGAGTCTGAACCCGTTCGGCCAATCAGAGCGCAGGAGCTGGGGGAGATTTTGGGTTGAAATGGTCGAATTTGGGGGAAAGTCAAGATTTGGGGCAAAAATGGGCGATTTTGGGACAGCAAGGCCGGAATTGGAGATCACGGGTGAAGGTTTTGGGTCAGGGGTGAGTTTTGGGCAGAACCAGGCGAGGATTTGGGATCCGTGGCCACCGCTGGGGAAAACGGGGAGAAACGGGCAAGAATTGGGTCACGGGATGAGATTTGGGGGATGCACCGGTGGGGTGAAGCCGCCATCGCCGCCACGGAATTCATAATTGCAATTAGCAAAATCGCGTTTGGCGCAGAAATAAACGGCGGAATCGTCGTCCCGGAGGGTGTTCGTGGCCAGCGTCACCGATTTCTGCCTGTTGTCCTGACCCGGCCGACGCTGCTGCGGATCCGTGCGACGAATCCCAGCGCGGGTCTCTGCGGATCCAGAACATCCCAAAATTCCCGAAATCCAACCCGGAGCAACGTCGGGATGGAGGTTCCCCGGATTCCGGCCGGAGCAATGCGGGAACGACGGGAGATGCGGATGAAGCGCCGGATCCGCACTGGAGGAGGGTTGGTGTGGGAACCCCGGGTTTGGTTGGGGGTCTCGTGTGGTGTAGAGCTTCTCCTCCGACCCGTATCCCAAAGGAAAACTCCGCAGTCTCTTATTGCTCGGTCTCAAGATGATTTATTGCTAATTATCTAACAAATTAAGTTCTTGGATCACTGTTTGATCAGCGGCCTGGGTAGAGGCACACACACCCTGACATCCTCTCGATCTGCTGTCTTCTCCTCCTCTCTCCCCACCCAGAGCTGCTGCTATCTTTTATAAGATATATTACATATAACATATTTACAATTATTCCCCAATACTTATTACCTACGTTACCAAGTGTTTTTCTATTCTAAACCAATTTATGAGTGCCAACATCACCAAGAACATGGAGGTAAGGAAAAAAAAGGAGGAAGAACAGGATCAGCCCACTTTCCTCCATCTTAGAACTTCTGACCTCCATGTACAAAGTGAAAACCCCCCTGTACATGCGCTAAAACCCCCCTGTACACTACCAAAAAATATTTCTTTTTACTTTGTGACTACAATTACTATCTAGCACTTTGTGACTGCTTGTTCCACCTCCAAAGTTGGTCATTCATTCCATGGTTCAAACTCGAAATCACAGCTAAATCCAGCTGCCCGCTGGGGTCCAGACTGCGTCTGACCACGGCCTGGAACCTCCAAAAATGTCTGAGAGACATTTTGAGTTCCCACAGGTTGGGAGGTGCCGGGGTCACAATTTGGGGCCCAAAGTCAGGATTTGGGTCAATTTTGGGCCTCTGGTGAGGAAATGGCGGGTTCCAGGAATGTTTCTGCGTGTCCTGACCCCCAGGGCAGCTCTGGAGAACACTCCCCACGCCCCGAGGGAAACCAGAACCCACCAAAGTGTGGAACGGATTGCAGACAGCAGCGCGGGGGCTCACATGGCTGAGAAATTTAGGGTTTAGGGTTTTTAGGATGTTCCAGACGACTTCAAGGTGGAGGACGTTGCGTGTTGTCTCGACTCCCTTTCTTCTTTCCGCTCCTTGTTTCTCCTTCGTTTAGGTGGTATCTTGCAATTGGGCGGAAAAATCCGCGTTTTGGGATTTTAGGGCTCAGTTATTGGCTCAGAAGGGGAAATCATTTCGGTGTCGCTTCTTAATTGGGCGGCTCGGTTTTTGATTAGACTTAAACATGGGATGGTCGCCAGTTTTGGGCTGTTCTCCTGCACGCAGAGTCTGGTGCAGCCACGGCGCGGAGGTTTGGATAAGATATCGATAAACGGAAGCTGAAGATGGAAAAATCCAATGAAGTTCTGGATCCTGAGACAGAACCGCCCCAGGAGGGTCTCCAGTGCCAGGGCAGGGCCCAGGGAGTTCCAAACTCACCCCGGACTCCAGCAGGGTCACGGCNGGATCCTGAGACAGAACCGCCCCAGGAGGGTCTCCAGTGCCAGGGCAGGGCCCAGGGAGTTCCAAACTCACCCCGGACTCCAGCAGGGTCACGGCTGCCCGGAGCAACGTGGGAAAAAGAGTTTCAGAGTCGGAATTTGGGTCAATGTCGGAGCTTTTCCCACCCCAGAGTCGGGATTTGGGTCCATTCCGGAGCTTTTCCCATCCCAGAGTCAGGATTTGGGTCCATTCCGGAGCTTTTCCCACCCCAGAGTCAGGATTTGGGTCAATGTTTGAACTTTTCCCATCCCCATCTCCCCTGGTTCCCGCAGGGCTCCGGGCGGCCGTGACCCTGCTGGAGTCCGGGGGGGACCTCCAGCCCCCCGGGGGTCCCTGACGTTGCTCTGCCGAGGATCCGGGTTGGATTTTGGGAGTTTTGGGATGAACTGGATCCGACAGAAACCCGGGCAGGGGCTGGAATTTGTTGCATTCATCAGCAGTGATGGTTGGACCACCGACTACGCCGATTCCGTCTGGGGCCGGTTCAGGATCTGGAGGGACAACGGGCAGAGCTCGGTGACGCTGGCCATGAGCAGCCTCAGGGACGAGGATTCCGCCGTTTATTTCTGCGCCAAATCTGCTGCTGCTGGTGGTGGTGGTGGTTTTGCTGTTGGTTGTATTGAAGCTGCCAATCCTGGTCCCACCTCCACCTCCTTCTCCCCTGTCCTGGGCTGACTGTGTGATGCCTTTATCCCCAATCGTCTGCCCTGTTCATGTTGAATAATGAGTTCTCCACCTTTAAGACTTGTTCCAGGAGGGAAGGAGTGGGGGGAAGAAGCGCGGAGTTTGTTTTCAAGAACCGCACTCCCTCCTCCACATTCCTGCTCCTGGACTGCGTGTCTGCGTCCAGACGGACAACGAGACGGAGCTCTCCTTTGGGGTTTTTTCCCTAATCTAGTTAGTTTAGCTAGCTGAGGTGAAGAAGTTCCCTGGACTGTGTTTTTCCCTTTCTCTGGACCTGCTCTGGATGAACACCAGCAGAGCAGCAGCAGCTCCGGGCCTGGGCCGCGGCATTTCCAGCGCCGGAGGGACTGAGCAGAGACTGAGTGAGCCCAGCTGCAGCCCGGGGGATTTTCTGAGTTTGTCTCTCTTGGAGTGGCAAGAAGTTTTATTATTTAATAGTGTCTAAGTTTGCTAATTTAATAAACAGGTTTTTTCCACTTTTCTCCAAAGAGGAATCTTTCCCGAACTGGTTGAGGGGAGGGGCCGATTGAATCTGCTTTCCTGAAGGAACCTTTTGGGGGAATTTCCCCAGATTTGCCCTGAACCAGGACATCCCCCCTGTCCGCAAATGCCCAACCCAGCCCCAAACCCCAACCCCAGCCCCAGCCAGGAGCGCAGCCACGAGAGCGGGGTCAATACGAGAAGCAGCAGCAGCAGCACCAGCAGCAGCAGCATAACTATAACCACTGTAAGCTGATCTGGTGCAGAAATAAACGGCGGAATCCTCGTCCCTGAGGCTGCTCATGGCCAGCGTCACCGAGCTCTGCCCGTTGTCCCTCGAGATCCTGAACCGGCCCCNGGAGCTTTTCCCATCCCAGAGTCAGGATTTGGGTCAATGTTGGAGCTTTTCCCACCCCAGAGTCAGGATTTGGGTCCATTCCGGAGCTTTTCCCAACCCAGAGTCAGGATTTGGGTCCATTCTGGAGCTTTTCCCATCCCAGAGTCGGGATTTGGGTCCATTTTGGATCTTTTCCCATCCCAGAGTCGGGATTTGGGTCTATTCTGGAGCTTTTCCCACCCCAGAGTCAGGATTTGGGTCCATTCCGGAGCTTTTCCCACCCCAGAGTCGGGATTTGGGTCCATTCCGGAGCTTTTCCCATCCCAGAGTCGGGATTTGGGTCCATTCCGGAGCTTTTCCCACCCCAGAGTCAGGATTTGGGTCCATTCCGGAGCTTTTCTCATCCCCATCTCCCCTGGTTCCCGCAGGGCTCCGGGCGGCCGTGACCCTGCTGGAGTCCGGGGGGGACCTCCAGCCCCCCGGCGGGTCCCTGACGTTGCTCTGCCGAGGATCCGGGTTCGATTTCGGGAATTACGAAATGGAATGGATCCGCCAGAGACCCGGGCAGGGGATGGAATATGTCGCGAGTATCGGCAGTGGTGGCACCACCAGATACGCGACATCGGTGCGGGGCCGGTTCAGGATCTCGAGGGACAACGGGCAGAGCTCGGTGACGCTGGCCATGAGCAGCCTCAGGGACGAGGATTCCGCCGTTTATTTCTGCGCCAAAACTGCTTCCAGTTGTTGTGGCATTGCTGGTGCTAGTTATGGTGAAGGATAAATCCACCGGAGCTCCTGCAGGAGAACAGGTCAGGTCCTTCTCCCCCCAGTCCCTGTGCCGGGTCTCGGTCTCAGTCCTTGGGGAGGGGGCTCCTGGTCTCTGCCACGGGGGAACGAGGCCGGGGAGGGGTCGGCAGTGAGAGACCACCCGGGTCACCCCAACAGCTCCTTCGGCTTCAGGGTGCGAGCGGAGCAGGAATTGCAGCCGCCGCTCCGTGCTGGGTCCGTGCCGGGTCAACCCCAGGGCAAATCCTGGCCAAGTTCCTGCCAAATCCTGCCAAATCCTGGCCAAGTTCCTGCCAAATCCTGGCCAAATCCTGGCCAAATCCTGGCCAAATCCTGGCCAAATCCTGGCCAAATCCTGGCCAAATCCTGGCCAAATCCTGGCCAAGTTCCTGCCAAATCTTGGCCAAATCCTGGCCAAATCCTGGCCAAGTTCTTCCCAAATCCAGGCCAAGTTCTTCCCACATCCTGGCCAAATCCTGGCCAAGTTCTTGGCAAATCCAGGCCAAGTTCTTCCCAAATCCTGACCAAATCCTGGCCAAGTTCCAGCCAAATCCTGGCCAAGTTCTTCCCAAATCCTGGCCAAGTTCTTGCCAAATCCTGGCCAAATCCTGGCCAAGTTCTTCCCAAATCCTGACCAAATCCTGGCCAAGTTCTTCCCAAATCCTGGGCAAATCCTGGCCAAGTTCTTGCCAACTCCTGGCCAAATCCTGGCCAAGTTCTTCCCAAATCCTGGCCAAATCCTGGCCAAGTTCTTCCCAACTCCTGGCCAAGTTCTTCCCAACTCCAGCCAATTCCTGGCCAAGTTCTTCCCAACTCCTGGCCAACTCCTCGCCGTTCCTGGTGGGGCGCAGCCGCCGTGCCGGTGCCGCGGCTGCCCCTGCCCCGTTGCCCCCTCCAAGCCGGATCTGCAGCTTGGGGGGTTTTTCCTTCTGGTGGCAATCGGCAGGAAAATGAGTGAGGGTCTCCAGAGGGGCTCGGCCAGATGGGTCAGGGGTGTGGGGACAGCCGGGGGCACGGCCGAGAGGGTGGGGACAGAACCATCAGCAGCAGCAGCACCACCCCAACCAGCACCACCGTAAGCAGTTTTGGCGCAGAAATAAACGGCGGAATCCTCGTCCCTGAGGCTGCTCATGGCCAGCGTCACCGAGCTCTGCCCGTTGTCCCTCGAGATCCTGAACC